GAGCGCATATGTGCGAGCGTGAATGTGTGTGTGCGTCTGCGACGAATAATCTTGGAAAGATAAGGCTTCTAAATTTCTTTTAAAGTTTTAAAATTTCTAAATTTCTAAATAAAAAGATTTCTAAATTCGCTTACATCGATGTTGAAAAACATAAGGATCATCAAAAAGTTTGTCACTTTACCAGGGATGCTCGAGCAGACAAAATCCAAACGCATCCGCATTTGCTCGATTTGTTTATAAAAACGAAAAGTTACCTGCAACGAAGTGAGCACAATCTTTTCTACGCTGCTAAAATAACGCAGATATAAACCTCGCGACTGTTGCTTCATAAACAGTATACGATTAACTGGAATCGAACTGAGAATATCCGAAACCTAAAAATACCAGTGGTTACAGAAGGTTGGATAAGTAAATCTATGCAGTTATTAGTCCGAAAAGCACACTGGAAGCCGAGGAGGGGCTATGTATCGTATCTAAATTCTATGCAAAATCTCTAAACGGAATACTCAAAACAAAGTAGAATGGGAATATTTTTCAGGAGAGCAAAAATTCCCTGTAGAAGAAAGAAAGCACAGAAAAACTGAGCAAAAAAAATCTAAGTAAATTTCGTCAAATATTAAAGTGAAACGTAAAATTAATAAGTAAAAAATTCGAAAAACATTTCATTCTTTCTCGAGGGGAATATGCATTTAATTCCCATTCGCCGAACTATGCAAAAAAGAACCCTCTAAAAAAACAGATGGAATAACCAACAGACCAAGAAGTCCATTACAAGAGCCATTTTTTCTGGAAAATGGCCAATGCCCGTTTGCAGAAAACACTTTGTATTAATTTCACCCACCGTAAGCACAGTATCTTCATGACCAAAAACAACAGCTTGACGCCAGTCGATTATTTCCGAAAAAGGCAATTCCCAATCATCCGACAGGACAACTGGAATACATCCCAGCCTAAGAGCTTCGAGAAAACGAAACGAGCCAAGACGTCGTCCACGTGGTGTAAGGCAAAAAGTCGAATTTGACATGGTTTTTTCATAATCCCAGCTGCAAAAAAGAACATACACATACATAAACATACACATACACACATACACACACACGTGCACATACACACATACGCCCACAAACGCATACACATACACATACACACACATACACATACACACACATACACATACACACACATACATATACACACACATGCACATACACACATATACACATACACATACACACATACACAAACACACACCCACACATACACATACACACACACTCACAAACACATACACGCATACATTCACACACTTACACACATACACATACACACACATACACATACACACATACACATACACACATACACACATGCACATACATAAACATACACATACACACACACGTACACATACACACATACACCCACAAACGCATACACACATACACACATATACACATACACACATATACATATACACACACATACACATACACACAACACATACGCACACATACACATACACACACACTCACAAACGCATACACGCATACAAATACACTCACACATACACATACATACACATACACACACATACACATACACACACATACACACACATACACATACACACACATACACATACACACATACACGCACATACACACACATACACATACGCACATACACATACACACATACACATACACACACATGCACATACACACATATACACATACACATACATAAACATACACATACACACACACGCACATATACACACATACACCCACAAACGCATACACACATACATACGCATACACACATACACATACACAAACACACATACACACAAACACACATACACACAAACACACATACATACACACCCACAAACACATACACGCATACACATACATACACGTACACATACACACACGTACACAGACATACACATACACACATGCACATACACACACGCACACACATACAAATACATACACAAACGCACACGCATACACACATACACATACATATACACAAATACAAACACATACACACATACACATATACACACGTACATAAACATACACACATACATGCACATACGCACACCTACACATGTACACACACACGCAAATACGCATACATACACACGTACACAAATACACGCAAATACACATACACATACACGCAAATACACATACACACATACACATATACACACGCGCGCACTTACACATACATACACATACACACACGTACACATACACACACATACACACCCATACGCATGCATACACACACGCGCACATACACGTACACACATACACAAACATACACGTACACACATACACAAACATACACGTACAGACACATACACATACACACACATGCACACATATAAACACACACATGCACACGTACAAACACACACATACACATGTACACACACATACAGCACACACGCATACACGCATACATGCACATACACACACCTATACATACACACGCGCATATACGCATACATACACGCACATACGCATACACATACACATACGCACACGTACACATGCACACATACATAAATACACATACACACGCACATACACACACATACACATGCACGCATACACACATGCATACACATACACACATACACACACATGCACGTGCACACACGCACGCACATACACGTACATACACATACACACATACACACGTGCACATATACACATACACTAACACGTACGCATACACATGTACACATACATACACATACACGCATACATACACATACACGCATACACACACATACACACACGTACACATACACACACATACACGCATACATATACATACACGCACACATAAATACAACGCGTACACGCACACACACATACACATACACACGCATACACACACACACGCATACACACAAACACATACATACATACACAAATACACACATACAAACATACGCACATACACACACACGCATACATATACATACACGCACACGTACACACACATACACATGCACACATACACACATGCACATACACACATACACGTGCACAGATACAAACACATACACATATACACCCATACACATATACACACGCATACAACACACACGCGTACATGCATACATGCACATACGCACACCTACACATACACACACGTACGCATATACGCATACATACAAATACACACACATACGCATACACACGTACACACGCACACATACATAAATACACATGCACACGCAAATACACACATATACGTACGCATACATGCAAATACACGCACATACACGCACACACACACGCATATACACATACATATACATACACACATAAATACACATACACACATACGCATGTACAGACGTACACATACGTACACATGCACACACATACACACATATACACATACACATACATACGCATACATACACATACACGCATATACAAATATTCACGCACACGTACATACACAAACGTATACACGCGTACATACACATGCACACATACACACACATAAATACACACATACATACATACACATACACAGACGTACACATACACACACATGCAGACATACACACAAATACACGCATACATACACATATAAATACATACACGTGCACACGTACACACACATACACGCACACACGAATGCGCACACATACACATACACACACATACACACAAATACACATACACACGCATACACATACACACGCACACATACACACACGTACGCGCGCACGCGCACACACACCCATATACGCATCACACACGTACACACACAAATATACATACACGCACATACAAAAGTACACGCACATGCAAATACACACATACACACATACACATACATACACGCATATGTATACACGCACGCATACACATACAAACATGCGCATATACGCATACACACAGACATACACACATGCACACACACATATACATATACATACAGATACACACACATATACATACTTACACATACACATACTCAGACATACAAATATACACTCATACACATACACACGTACACACGCATACACATACACACGCACACATATACACATACACACGCATACGCGCGCGCATACACATACACATGCACACATATACGCACACACATACACATACACACATACACGTGCACACACACGTACACACACGCACGCATATGCATATACACACACACACACGGATACACACATACGTGTACACAAACATACGCACACACGCACATACACACACATGCAAATACACACATATACACACACACGCTTACACACAGACACATGTACACACATAGACATGCACACACATGCACACACATACATATGCACACACTCACGCATGCGGATACACACATGCACGGGTATACACATACGTACAAGCACACAGATACGCATAAACACACACATACACGTATGCACATGCACACATACATACACACATACACAAGCACTTACACGCACATTCGTAACTAATCGCAGAAACGCGCAGGAATTAACACCGTATTGAAGAATTCAGATTAATCGCTGCTATTGCTCATTTTAGAATGATTTTGTTTTTTGGTAGAAATGCAGTATGGACGGTTCTCTCAGTATACGGCCTAGACTCACCGGTCATATTCGACATTATCTGCTTCGCAACGGTCATCCTCATATTTTTTCCAATCTGTGTTATGCTTGCATGTTGTAACCATCACCACTGAATGTCCGTTGTGTAGGTGGTAAAGCGAATCACGCGTTTCCGAGCCTATTCCATACACATATCGCTTGCCCTTGAAGCTTACCAAATATTTGTCTACCATATTCAATGACCATTCTGCCTAAATTAAACTCATTTTTAACGGGCGTCCAGTTTAAGCATTTTTTTTGCCATCCTCGGCCTTCAAAGCTGTTATGGGCAGTGGCTTGCACAGAAAAGTGCTGGAAGGATAAGCTGTTGTTGTAGTAAAAATTCAGATAAAAAATGAAGGGAATTTGCTACACAAAGCAGTCCTCAAGAAAAATTAGGACAAGCAAGGCAGGTGTCACGGAAATCCGCGAAAACCTGGCCAGAAAGCCGCCATAAAGAAGAGAGGAAAAGAAAAGAAGAGGGCACCCTGCCTTGAAAGGCAGACACACAGTAGATGTACTGTCAGGCTAAACCTAGAGCACAAAGATCGGTGGTGTAGTGGTAACACATTACGTCCGGGCTTGAAGAGGAGTGGTTCGGGTCCCTCCTGGTCCAGAACAATTTTTGGAAAAGGGCTCCATTCATGACAGGAAATTTTAAAACCAAGAGCAATTTCACTAACAAAAGAGCAATTTTGAAAAGTTTACCAGGCCAGTTGATGGCGGGAATGTGCATCATGACAAAACGGGGAAAATCAAAGTCGGTAAACAAAATTTGTAATTTTCGTTGCCATTCTCAAAATTTCTGTCTTGTCTCACACTCACTTTTCCAAAATAGGAATTAATTTTTGCACATAAAAGGTTTCGAAAAACTGAACAAACCTCTACAGTTGTTCTCAATGGATGCTGTTCATGGAAGAGTGGAAACGATAAATCAAACTCTTCTCGAAAAACCTGGAAAAAAATGCCCCAAATTTAGAAAGAACCTATATTTCTAGAGTTACAAGAAGTTTTTGTTCAACGAGGCAAAAATCATGCAAATTCAAATGAAGCAAAGTGGCGCATACAAACTTGAAATTCTCACTTTCGTCCGTTTCACCCCATCTGTACTCGTTTTGCACTACTCAATTCGAAGCGTCCTTTCTTGTTTTTTTTAAATTTAACTTGAAAGAGTTACCATTTTAGTACTATGTCTTTCTTCTCTATCGATACAACAACTGATAAAATTTCCGTTCTCAGTCTGTTGCATCAGCGTAATTCCGCAAAAGCACGAAGGATCCTGCTAATGCATTGGCGACTTTCCCTCTGTTCTCAATATCGGCTTATATTGTGAACAACTCCTCTGTTCGATTGGCGCCATAAACAATGCAGCCTGTCCATCGTAACCCCTCATTCTCGCCACATCCGCCGTTGGCCCAGTTTTTTTTTTTCGTGGCGAATACTGCTTTAACTACATCATTTGCGCCAAAAGTACGAATTAAAAATCAGAACACGAGAAAATTCCGAGCTTAACACACATCCATATAAATTCATGTAATCGCTCACATGATAATAATTTTCACCGCGTTCATTTAACATTCCTTCTATTTTGCTAAAAACTTAAAATATCTCTTTTTGTTATCATTTTTTTATAACTCTTTTTTTTTTGCAAACCTGAGCATTTGCGCTGGCGCGAGCAATAATCGCGTAGCCAGTGTTGAAACCAAGATCGTGATCTGAGTAGTTTGGATATGTGCCATGATAAAGGTTGTAAATGATATGGTTCCGGCCAGAATTCCAAATTTCACTTGGCAAGCTCGCAATCAATTCATTCACGTATTTCACGTAATTCTCACTAGAAAGTAAGGAACTCAACACGATCGCTAATTATTAAATGCTGGTTTTTCATTTACAAGAAGACATTCTAAATTTTTGTGGACACTTTTCAAGAAAACCCACGCACCGAGCTCGCCTGTGCGAACATGCGTTTTTGCGCTAAACTTGCAACAAAAAAAGTAAAATAAAAAAATGAGTTGCCTGCGCCGGTCGCGATCAACGGTATCGATGCTCAAGACGAACAAGCATGCTTTTTGAGGATCGCTGGTATAGTACCAGCTTTCTCGAATAACCTGTAACACGCTGATTTACTTCATGTAACAAATTTTCCGTAAAAAAAGTCACTCAAATAATCAAGTTTAAGTGTAAAAAAGTGTAAAAAACGGTAATGAAAACAAAAAAAGAAAGAGTTGGATAAACGGATGTAGCAGAATAAAATAGAATATTTAAAATATATAGTTGTATCGGAGGCAGCAGAGAGCGGAAAATTTTTGAAGTGTCTCATTGTGACCACGTAAGCAACCAGACTTTTCATCAGATAAGCAGCGTGCAGGATATCACTGCCATCCCGATTTAGATGTTTAAGTTAACTGACAAGACTTTTAAAAATAGGCGCAACTGTAACTTACTTTTAGTATATTGCTATAAACGACAGACATTGCTGATTCGTTATCGGATGGATAAACATAAACACGGAATTCGTGCTGTCCTAAGCAACGCGACAAATCGAAACACTGTGACATCGTACATTCCGAAATCCTGAAGATTTCGTGTTTTTCTCACTACTGCCTGATGCTTCACTACTGCCAACTTTGGAAAATTCTATAAAACTAGATGTAAGTATAAATTTTTTTGTATAAAATCTGTATAAGTATAAAAAAATAAAAAAATATTCGATAAAATTTTTTATTTGATACAATTTGTTTGATAAATTTTTGATTTGATAATATATGATAAAAATTTGATAACATATAATAAAAATATTTGGTCAAATTTGATAAATACTCGCACAGACAATGCCAATCACACGGATTTCTGTTCACAACGGTTCCCCGGACTTACCAACGTTGAGGTTCTGATACGTTGACCAATTACAGTTGTTCGTATGCTTACAGGCATTTATCTAGCTGAATGGCTGCAGAATCAGACTACAAATTATAGCTGCTCCAAGCGTAAGCATTCAAAAAGTTTGATTAAAAAATGCAAAAAATTCGTGAAATTAAGATAGAACCTTGTTGGCCAATGGTATCCAGGATGTGGCTTTCGGTCCAACAGTTCCTTCTTGGTAATATAGGAGGGAGAATTTTCGAATTTTAATTTTCGCTTTGCATAGTAGAAGCGTCGAACGATCACGGGGACCAGGATGAGAAGCAAAAGCGCTAGTAATAAGTAACGTCCCAAGGCTTTCATTATATATGTTGAAATCTCAACTAGCCTTCACCAGTGGCACTAGGAAAGACCCGAATCCATATACCCGTTTCACTGACGGCCTGAAATTTAAAAAAAAAAAAGAAAAGTGAAGCCAAAGTTCTGTAAATTTGAAATTAAAGTGGGGTTTAACCTGAGCATTAGCGAAATATTCGAGATTAGATGAGGAAAAATTCGAAATCTTCATCAATGCAAAATTTTCATCACTTCGACAAGAGCACACAGATGGTGTTGTCCGTAAGGAACCGTCAAATCATATTATCGATAAACGGACGATTAAAGAAAATCAACCAGAGCACGTACTTTCCGATGCCATCATCCAGGATGTGTTGGTCCAGTCGACGACTTCATCAATCTCGGTTTTTGTTGAAGCGGGATTCACTGGCTGAATTCGACCACACAAAAACTAAATAAGCAGATTGTATCAACCAGGCTGACTCTGAAAGCTCAAATGGCGAAGGCGCGACAGAATACAAAGCGAGAGGAGATAAGAGTGAGAAAAGACGTTTCGGCCCATTAAGTTACATACCCTTTAACTCAACACCACGGCAAGAACCTCATCAGTATGGCGGCCGCAATGCTTAATGGAAAACTAAAGGAGGAAGGCGACAAAAATAAGCAGAAGGAACAATAGTCTGATAGCCGTATTAGATGGAGTAAGAGTGGGATGAAGGAAGGGAAAAGGAAAGAGGAAGATTTTGAAAAACTAGTAGAAAAGAGGCTCAGTAAAGGATCGATGCATCCAACAGACCTCAAGGGAGTTTTGCTTTAGTTGAAAAGCCTCCCAGTCCACCATCACTTTCTCAAATATGTATTTAAGTTGCACATGTGGCTGAGGCACTCGAGATCAGAATCAAAATGATTTTGGCTTCAGAGCATATTTCAGAGAATCAATTTAAGATCGAAAAAAAAATGTACGAGTTTGTGTGCAGATTTGCTGCATCAAAAAAAATCATACAAAAAAACGCAGTATGTAAATATTTATTGTGAGAAAGGAAGGATATAATTGTCTTTTTAAGACGTATTGACAAAAAAGTGTTATTTCTTATTCAGCTGTGGCGCAGAGATTCGCACTTTCCCAGGAATGTTCCTCGCAATTTGGTCATTACTTGCAAGCACTTTCAGCAAACTCAATTCATGAGCAGTCGCCGATTTATCACGCTGAAAATGAAAGAAAATTAAGTACACCGGTTTGGAAAGCGAAAATTTGAATATTTTTTGAAAAAACGCAAACTGAGCTGTCTTTTTATGGGTATTTGCTGTACAGCGCTGCTACAGTGAGCAAACACGCATATTGCCGACAGATCATCCGTGTGCGTGTGTGTGTTCAGAAGCGAGTGAACTTTGTTACTCACTTTCAAATTAGTGACAGGAAAGCTGGAGAGCTGAAATTTGTGGACATATTCTCATCTCATTGTATCACCCTTCCGTTTTAAAATCTTCGCTCATACATCCCTAGAACTCACGTACGGAGCCACAGAAAAAATATGCAAATTTTTTTGGCGGAAAACGATTACGTAAACCTGACAAGACTGAAAACTGATACGAGCTAAAGATTTCAAGCTAAAGATTTCTGTGCATATACGAGCTAAAGATTTCAAATTCATCTATCGCACAAATAGTTCAGTGTAGGAAGGGCTCGTCTAACTGCACCGTACTGAAATCGAGTGCTCCAAAATGCATGCTCAGTTATGGTGGCAAAATCTGGCACTGGCGACGAGGGTCGGGAAAAGTACACAGATTGGAAAGATGGCAAAGAGGCTGGGCATAACTGAAAGAATGCTTGTAAAGAACAAACCTGGAACAAAGCAATAGCGCTTTTCGCAGCCTTTCCACGTTTGCCGGTTCCTGGAGTTAGCTTCACTTTATACTTGAAATTGTGCATCGTCTGATAGGGAGCTACTACAACCAACGCGTACAAAAGCACATCTTCGTCAAATGGCCTCCACGTTAGCGAGTTCAGCATTCTGGTTTCCTCGGCATCCATCATTGCTGTATCTGCCTCTTCCAGTACATCTTCCTCATCCTCCTAAAAAATCACGGAATTAAACTGAAGTCGAGTGGCCTCAGAATCAATGAAATCAATTAAACAGTCATAAAATGAATATGCTAATGGTACCCACGGCTTCCGAGAAAACTGTGCCCGTACTTAGTAGATTTGGTAAATATAATTCGCAGTAAGCAGTTAATGTGATAAGCCAACTTTTAATCCTGCAAGCCTAAATGGTGAAAGAGTGATAGAATACAGCACGAAAGAACAGTATGAGAAAAGAAGTAAGAGCGAGATAAGACGTTTCGGTGTCTTAACTCAATATGTCTTAACTCAATATGTCTCAATATGTCTTAACTCAACACCGCAACAAAACCTCGTCAGTATGACGGCCTCAGTGCTATACGGGAAAGGAAACGAAAGCAGACGATGGGAAGAAACAGAAGGGGAAACGATATAATTGTGGGATTAAAAGGAGTGAGAGTGGGGTGAAGAGGGGAAGGAAAAGGAAAGAGGAAAAGACTGCTTGCGTTCATCTTTAGGAAGAAGTTAGTACATCTTAGCTTCAAAATCGCAATTCTTGCAGGCATAAAAATCTGGTTTTAAGGCGACGAGAAATTCTCTTCTTTTCTTATACGCATAGAACCCCTCAAAAAAAAAAAAAAAAAAGGATAAAGGAAGGCACGGTT